TACTGAAAAATATTAAACATATGTTATACCATCAATTCTATTGCTTTTACAATTACTTCGAGTAATTATAATAAATATTATTAGATTTTATTTTAAAAGATTTTTGAAAATGCAAGAGTTTACTTTTTATTTTTAACCTAGATGTTCCCAAGGAAAGTTCTTTTTCTGATTTTACTTGATAGTTTTATACAGCAATCTTAAACTTGTCATATGATAAGAAAAAATATAGTCTACTCTGAACCAGAATTATATTTCTACTTTATAATGCAAGCCAAATAACATCAGGTTAGCTATTTTCCACAATGTAGTTAAGCTGACTTATCCTGAGAGATTTGGAAATATTTTCTAATTGATTCAAGGTTAATAGAAAATGAGGTTAATGTTCACAGATCATAAAATGAGGAAGGCAATCAAACTGGTACAAGTACAAACTTGCACCAACAGAAGAAGTATGCACAAACATTTATATCTGCCAATTTTCATGAGTAAAGTTTTGCAATATACTACCCAATAGCTAGTAAAACCTGATCACTATAAAATTAATAGCACATTTTACCTGAATAAGATCAAATCAAGAAACCTTATTCTGAGATTTTCTCAATTACTCTTAGGTTATATAAATGTGGGTTAGTTTTTTATTCAATGTTCTAACCCTCAGTTGCTTCACTTATTAAGTGGAGAGAATTTGATTGGTTATATTCTAAATATTTATTCAGATCAAAATGTGTTCTTTGGGGCAAGTGAATAACTTTTTCAAAATGTAGGAGCAAAGCAAATAAACTAGTGAAGAAAACATTTTACAAAAGAGTAATATTTTAAATGTGAGACAATTTGGGGTTGGATTCTCCAGAAGTTGATGCTAAGACATGCAGGTACAAGTGATTTGGTAAAAATGTGCTCCTCTATGAAACCAGCAGGATATTTGGAGAGGTAGGACCAGAAAGGAGAATAAGAAAAGCAAGGATATGATTTTACTATCAGCTCAGTCCTAAGGAGCTCCAGGTTTTAAATTACAATGAAAAAGTTTATTGTACTTGGAGGCAAGGACCTGGGGCTTCCACAGTCTTCCAACCAGTCACTGGCTAACTTGTCAACCAAAAGAGATTAAAACTTCCAGGCATTTTTTACTTTCAGCATCTATGTATGATGTAGTATAACTCAAGAGTAGTTCTTTGAGGAAGGTTGAGGTGCTGTAAGGTAAAGCTCTAAGACTTTTGCTTTCAGCCAAGATGGAGTTACAAGAACCAGATTTATCCTACCACCTGAAATAACAAAAACAAAATGTATAAAACAATATTTTCCAAGTCATTGTACATTGGCCAGTAAAGAACAGTTATCCCTAAGAGAGGGTAAACAAACAACCCCTATAATTACCCCCAGCTTACTACCTGGAGTATTTCCGAGCTGGGTTGACATGGATAGAGTTCAGTGATCTTACAGAGATTATATTTTGGAAGAAATTGCAAGACTCAATCATATAATGCCCTCAATAAACAAATTTTAGATATATGAACCAAGTAGGTTAAAAATAAAAGCATCAAAAAGATGTCTACACTAACACTAACCAGAAGGTACTGATAATGGTTATTCTAATATCAGGCAAAATAGAGTTTATATCTGAGTTATATCACTACTGAATAAATCAGTGAATCTGAGTATGTAAGAGTAAAAAGGGTCATTTTCAAAATGATAAAGGAGTCAATTCATTAATGGGATCTAATAACACATCTATGCATCTAATAATATAAATTAAAAATATGTAAAGTGAAAGCTGATAGTAAGGAGATTAGGAAAAATCCATAACTATACCACTTTATCATAGCTAGAGATTTCAACACCCTACTCTTTTAACAATTAATACTTACTTTATCAGTAGGAAGAAAATCAGTAAAATCATGGAAGGCTTAACACCATCAACTTACTGGATATAATTGACATTTGTAGATCATTCCATTTTAAAAAAATAACACACATTCATTTTGGGTATACATGGAACATTTATCAAGTTAGACTTGTATTTTCATACATAAAACACGTCTTAAGTTTAAACACATTTAAGTCATACAAAATATATTTTCTGACCACAATAGAATTATTTTACAAACCAATAACAGAATTATGTGAGAAATCTCCAAATATTTGAGAACTAACTAAATAATTCATGCATCAATGATGAAATCAAACAGAAAAGTATTTTCACTAAGAGATAGTAAAAATACAACATTAAAATATGTGAGTGTTGCTAAAGCAGTATTTAGAGAAATTTATAATACTAAATGTCCATTTTGGAAAAAAAGAGATGTCAAATTAGCCCCCAGTGTAAGAAACTAGGAGGAAAAAGAAGAAAATAAAAATCAGAATAAAAACCAATGAATTTGTAGCCAGAAAAAAACAACAGACAAAAATTACTGCAACCAAAAATTTCTTTGACCAAATTAGAAAAACTTATAAACATCCAGCCAGACTAATCAAAAATTAAATAAAGGTGGAGAGAAAACATAAATTCCAAATTATTAGGCATGAGGAAAGTGATATCACTACAGATGGAACAGATGGTAAAAGTATAATATAGAGCTATCATGAACAACTTTATGCCAATACAGTCAAATTTTTAGATGAAATGCAGTTAAGTTCAAAGAAACAAACTGTAAAAGCTTATTGAAAAAGATATAGCTTTTTGCTAATAAAATTTTTTTATTTGTAATTAAAAACCTAACTATAAAGAATTCGAAGCCAGGAGATTCACTGAGGATGGTTTTAGTGGTGAATTCTTACAAACACCCTAAGAAGAAATCACATCAGTTTTATGCAAACTTTTCTATAAAATCTAAGAGGGAAACTACTTCCCAACTCATTTTACAAGGTCAGCATTATTTTGGCACCAAAACCATATGAAAATATTACAAGGAAAGAAAACAACAGATTTATGTTCTTCATGAAATAGTTGTAAAATTCTAAGCAAAATTTTAGAAAATTGAACCCAACAACATATAAGAAAGATAATACATCATAACCAGGTGGAGTTTTATTCTTGGAATGTAAGGTTTGTTTAACATTTTAAAATTAACAAATTTATTAGATTTAACAAATTATAAAACCAGGAACCAAATGATCATCTGAAGACATGGAAAAAAAATCTGGACAAAATCTAACATCCATTTCTGATCAAAATTATTTGTTTTGGGGTATCTGAGGTGGCACACACCTTTAATTCCAGTTACTTGGGAGACTGGATTACAAATTTGAAGTCAGCCTGGGCAACTTAATGGGATCTGTTCTCAAAACCAAACAACAACAACAACAACAAAAGGACTAGGGGTGTAGCTCAGTGGTACAACATCCCTGGGTTCAGTACAGAAAAAAAAATTGTAAACTAGGAGTGAAAGAGAACTTTCTCATGGTAAATTACATCTATGAAAAACCTATAGCTGAAATAATGATTAATGGCTGAAAGATTTTCTCCTAAGTTAATAAACAAGGCAAAGAATGCCTATCAGAGCCATTTGAATATCAGTAGAGATTTTAACTAGTACAGTAAGGCAAGATAAACAATAAAAATCATACAGATTGTAAAGGAAGAAGTAAAACTATCTTTATTTGCAGAAAATGTGATTGTCTACTTAGAAAATACTGTGGAATCTACAAAAGAATATTCTAGAAATGATAAGTGAGTTTGGTTTTGGGATATAAGATCAATATATAAAAAACATAACCAAAAATAATTGCAATGAATAATTTAACATTAATATTTACATAAACAATACTATTTCTATATCAAACAATATCAAACATAATATGACAAATCTTAAAAAATATGCTTGGAAACCAAAAGTTTTTACAGTTTTTATATCAAAAAATTATAACATAGTGCTGACAAAATGGGGAATGGTCACACTCCTCTGTAATTCTAGCTACTTGGGAGGCTAAGCCAGGAGGATCATAAGTTTGAGACCAGTCCAGGATACATAGTGAGACCCTATCTCAGGGGAGAATTTAAAAAAAAAAAAAAGAAAAAAAAAGAACAAACAAAATAAATAATATTGCTGATGGGAATTATAGAATGATCAATTAAATAGAGAGATATACAGGGTTTATGGATTGGAAGACTCAATATTAAGATGTCATTTCTCCCCAAATAAATCTATAGACTTAATGCAGTTCTAATAACAATATAGCATTTAAAAAATAATATTCTAAAATTTATCTTGAAATGCCAAGAACCTAGAATAACCAGAACAACTTTGAAAAACAAAAGTAAAGTTGGAAAATTTGTAGTATTTGTAAATATTTAACAACCAGCTCTCTGGAAGTATTTTTGTGGTATAAGTATACCATGTAATGTCAAGTTACTAATATGACATCTCACTGAACACAGAATTGGGAAGAGGTGCACAATACCAACTCTTGTAAATAAGTGCAAGCTAGCTTCAGCATATTGCTTATTACACTACATGATTTTAACATTTAATATAAACCTATAGTAATCAAAATGATGTAGTATGGGCACAAAGTTAGATAATAAACATAAAATAAGAAAAATGAAAGAGTTCACAGACACATATATATATGACCAATTGATTTTTGACAAAGGTGCAAAGGTAATTTAATAGAGAAAGAGTCTTTTTTTATAATTGTGTTAGAAAAATTGTATTTCATACTTGTATATTTCATAAATCAAACAAATGTTAAGTAGGTTATGAATCTAAGTAAAATGTATAAAACATTAAAGTTTCTAAGAGGAAACGGGAAGATCTTTGTGACCTGGAATTATATGAAGTTTCTTAGATATGATACCAAAAAATGTGATCCAAAAAAGATTCATAAATTTGACTTGACCAAAGTTGAGAACTTCTGCTCTCTAAAAGAAATTTTTTTAAGAGAGAGAGAGAGAGAGAGAGAGAGAGAGAGAGAATATGTTTTTAATATTTATTTATTTATTTAGTTTTCGGCGGACACAACATCTTTGTATGTGGTGCTGAGGATCGAAACCAGGGCCGCATGCGTGCCAGGCAAGTGCACTACCGCTTGAGCCACATCTCCAGCCCCTAGAAGACATTTTAAGAAAATGAAAAGATAAGCCACAGAATGTGTCAATATTTAACAACAAGCTCTCTGGTTGCAAATCACATATCAGATGAAGGACTTGTACCAGAAATACATTAAAACCCTTAAAACTTAATAACAAAATAAACATAAAAATAGGCAAAATATTTGAGCAGACATATCAGCAAAGAAGATATGTGATGGTAAGTAAGCACATTCAGAGATGCTTGAACTTGCTAATCATTAGGGAAATATAAATCAAAACTACAATGAGCTATCACTGTATGTCCAATAGGATGTATACAATTGAGAATCCTGACAATACCCAGCTTGGGTAAAGATGTAAAGTAACTAGAATTCTCAGACACTGTTGGGGGTGGAAATATCAAATGGTACAGCCATTCTGGAAAACAGTTTGGCAGTTTTTTAAAAGCCATTCAATCCTAGGTATTAATTCAGGAGAAATAAAAATGTATTTGCTTTCTGATTTCTCATAAAAATAAAACCTAGGTAAAAACCATTAAAATAATGCAGAAATAACATTTAAAAAAATTTGGACGTTGGTTCTTTTCTGTCAATTTGGTATTGATACTGTGATTTTTCAGTTTACTCAAAATAAGAGAATCAAAATATTTTGTTTATGAGGTCATACTCTAGTTTGGATGTTGAATGTCCCCACCAAATCCCATGAGTTAAAGTCTTGGTCCCCAGGGTGGTGCTGTTGGGAGGTAGTGGAACCTTTAAGACCTTAGGCCTAATAAGAGACCTGTAAGGCATTGGGAGTATCCCCTTAAAGGGGCTCGTGGAACCCCACCCCTTTCCTCTTTCTTTTTTGCTTCCTGGCCATAAAATGAGTGATTTTGCTTTACCACATGCTCTGACCATGATGTGCTCTCTCACCAGAAGTCCAAAGCAATAGGACTAACTGATCATGGACTGGAACTTTCAAAACTGAGCCAAAACAAACCTTTTCTCTTTATAAGTTGATTATTTTAGGTACTTGTTATAGTGACAGAAAACTCAAAACAGTTCAAAGATGTTTAAAGATGTTAGGTAAAATATATAGCATCCTCATGAAAGTAGCATGTAGAACCTGGTGCTATAAGTATCAAATGATTTTTTTAAAATAAAATACCTTTGTTTTATTTATTTATTTTTATGTGGTGCTGAGGATTGAACCCAGGCCCTTTCATGTGCTAGGCGAATGTTCTACTACTGAATCACAACCTCAGCCCCCAAGAATCAAGTAATTTTTGTAAATCAAAATATATTATGGACATTGTTCCACCAGGCGACCAGCACGCTGGTTTCATTAAAGAGGTTCGTGACATAGAAGTTAACTAGTGAGATCAAAATAAAACACACAGACTCAATTACCTTTTTCTATGACCAGTTCCGAGACGGCTCTCACCTCTCTGGCTCTCACTTCGAACCACCCGGTAGGGCAGCAAGGCTTACTCAGGGCTAGCAGGAGAGAGAGAGAGAGAGAGCACACCAGGAGTGGCCTTTTATTGGGGAACAAGAAATAAAGGGGGAAATTCCATCCAATGAACATCGAGGGGGACAGAATTCCAAGGTCAGGGTCAGTGATTGGCCTCAGGGTCAGTGGTCAGTCACACCCCCACACGGACAGACTCTTGCACCTGGAGAGGGCGGGGATAGCTTCAACACAGTTTGGCCAAAACGCCTCAGACTCAATCCGGGTGGTGCCCAATCACGTTCGAGAATGAATTCCCACACATTGTTTTATATATAAATTAGTAATGTGGTTAAATAATTTTGTGGGGGCAGGGAACAATATTATTTCTCAAGAATTATGAGCAAATGTAGCATACTAACTATAACTTTTATGGCTTTAGATAAACTCAACTTAATTTTTACAAAATAATCCTTTTAATGGAGAATTTATGATTATAATAATTTTGTTTCAAAATTTTGAACTACCTAAATAATTTTACTAATTATTTTGAGTTTATGTTTCCTATATGAAATAACAAAATAAGAAAGGCCTAGTTGACTATTTTTCTGTTTTATATCATCATAAATGGGATGGTATCAAACTGAAAAGATTCTTCACAGCAGGAAACAATCAAGAACATGAACATAGAGCCTACAGAGTGGGAGCAAATCTTTACCACTTGCACCTCAGATAGAGCATTAATCTCCAGGATATACAAAGAACTCAAAAAACTTAACACCAAAACAAACAAACAGACAAAGAATCCAGTCAACAAATGGGCAAAGGAAATGAATAGGTACTCACAGAAGAAGAAACATAAATGATCAAAAAGTATATGAAAAGAAAGGGATACACACAGGAAAAGAAGAACTCAAATTGGCACCATTTGCTGATGATATGATTCTATAATTAGAGGACTCTAAAAGTTCCACCAGAAAACTTCTAGAACTAGTAAATGAATTCAGCAAAGTATCAGGATATAAAATCAACACCCATAAATCAAAGGCATTTCTGTATATCAGTGATAAATCTTCAGAAAGGGAAACGAGGAAAACTATCCCATTTACAATAGCTTCAAAAAAAAAAATTCTTGGGAATCAACGAAAAAGGTGAAAGATCTATATAATGAAAATTTCAGAACCCTAAAGAAAGAAGTTAGAGAAGACCTTAGAAGATGGAAAGATTTACCTTGCTCTTGGATAGGCAGAATTAATATTATCAAAATGATCATACTTCTAAAAGCAATATACAGATTTAATGCAATTCTGATCAGATCCCAATGACATTCCTCATAGAAATAGAAAAAGCAATCATGAAATTCATCTGGAAAAATAAGAGACCCAGAATAGCTAAAGCAACCCTTAGCAGGAAGAGTGAAGCAAGTGGCATCACTATACCAGACCTTAAACTATACTACAGAGCAACAGTAACAAAAACAGCATGGTATTGGTACCAAAACAGACTGGTAGACCAATGGTACAGAATAGAGGACACAGAAACAAATCCACAAAATTTCAATTATCTTATATTAGATACAGGTGCCAAAAACACGCATTGCAGAAAAGATAGCCTCTTCAACAAATGGTGCTGGGAAAACTGGAAATCCATATGCAACAAAATGAAATTAAATCTCTCTCTCACAATGTATAAAACTCAACACAAAATGGATCAAGGACTTAGGAATACAACCAGAGACTCTGTGTCTAATAAAAGAAAAAGTAGGCCCTAATCTCCATCATGTGGGATTAGGCTCCAACTTCTTTAATAAGACTCCTTTGGCACAAGAATTAAAATAAAAAATCAATAAATGGTGTGGACTCAAACTAAAAAGTTTCTTCTCAGCAAAAGAAACAATCTGTGAGGTGAATAGAGAGCCTACATCTTGGGAGTGAATCTTTACCCCTCACACATCAGATAGAGTACTAATCTCTAGGGTATATAAAGAACTCAAAAAGTTAAACACCAAAACAAAACAAAACAAAAAACCAAATAACCTAATCAATAGATGGGCCAAGGACCTGAATAGACACTTCTCAGAAGAGGATATACAATCAATCAACAAATATATGAAAAAATTTTCATCATCAATAGCAATTAGAGAAATGCAAATCAAAACCACTCTAAGATTTCATCTCACTCCAGTCGGAATGGCAGACAAATAACAATGAAGATAAATAACAATAAGTTTGGTGAGGATGTGAGGAAAAAGGTACACTCATACACTGCTGGTGGGACTGCAAATTGGTGTAGCCAATATGGAAAGCAGTATGAAGATTTCTTGGAAAATTGGGAATGCAACCACCATTTGACCCAGCTGTCCTCCCCTCGGTCTATACCCAAAGGATTTAAAAACAGCACACTACAGGGACACAGCCACATCAATGTTTATAGCAGCACAATTCACAATATTTAAATGTCACTTATTAACCACTACCTAATCCTGTGTGAGTATTCTGGGAGTACTAACTTTGGAAAATGAGACAGCATTATTACTTGATGTATTGAGTAATATATTGTATTGTAATATCATTGTCTTCCCTGTGATAACAGTCAGTGTGATTAACATGTCCAATAACTATCTACCAGGTTTTGCTCTTTATTCATTGTCCTCCTTTATATGTATTTTATATAAACCTTAGTTAAAATTCTTTCAGTTACAAATGAAACTAACTTGAGCTACTTTAAACCAAAAAAGGCAAGGGATTTATCTTGAGGTTATAAAGTAATCCTAAAAGGAATATAGGGATATAAGTATTTCAAAAGCAGGGAGTCATTCTGGCCAAATGAGGTATTATAATCAGGAAATAGCTTCATTATTCTCATTTTCTCTCGTTGAGGCACCTGGCCTTTATTTCTCAATCTAGCTGCAAGTCTATTTCATTTTTCTTTTTTTTGCATACGCAATGTCAACTAATATACTCCAGCACTTTGAGATTTAGGTAATATTTGTGAGGTATATTTCATGCTCAGTGGGACTCTGGGGGCTTCTGCAAAGATTCTCGCAAGTTTCTGAGTTAGAAGTCAATGAGGTAAGTGGGAAGGGGAATGCCAGGCTGAGGCTCCCATAGTCACCACCTCTGGCTCTGGGTCCCTATTTCCATATGTAGTAGCCTTCATTGAAAGTTTGAGAGTTTATATCATAGTGATATAACCAACATGGTCTGTTAGGGATACTTTTAGAACAACTTGAGAAATTTCCTTTGGCCCTTCATCCAAAAAGTTCTTAACATTAAAGTTCCACTCTAAACTTGTATTTTATTTTCTTCTTGTGCTGCTGGGGATTGAACCCAGGGTTTCTTACATGCCAGGACATATTTACCACTAAATTACATCCCAGTCCATTAACTTTAAACTTTCTTACGAACCTTTTTCTCCTTTTCTTATGAGGGAAAAATTATTTTATGTGCCACAAGGAGTAGTTTTACTATTTCCTTTATTTTTGTGGCTTCTGGTACCTGTGCCTCAGGGTTTACATTCTATCCTAAGCAACTCAAACAGGGACATATCTCTTTCTGGTTGTTTTGGCATTCCATGGTTGCCATAACAAAGCACCACAGACTGGATGGTCTAAAAAACAACAACAAAAAAATATTTTCTTACAGTTCTGGAGGCTTAAAGTATGAGATCAAACTATCATTAGGCTTGTTTTGGATATTATGAAAAAAGTCTATTCTAGGCCTCTCTCCTTGGCATGTGGATGGATTCTTCCTGTGTATTTACATAATTTCTCTATACATGACTGTGTCAAAATTTACTCATCTTCATAAGGACATCAGTCATTTTGATTAGGACTTATGGTATTGATTTCAATTTAACTTAATTATCTCTTTAAAGATCTACTCCAAATACAGTTGCATTCTAAGATAGGAAAGGATAAGACTTCAACATGAGAATTTTAGGGAGGGACATAATTTAACCAATAGTACTGGTATTTTTTGTTAAGATAATGTAATTTTGACCTTTGTTATTTTTGCTTCTCATTGTTTATGGTAGGGAGGGGAGTCCTCCTGTAGCAACTTAGTTTAAGCAAACAACCTTAGCTGATCAGAATTGGATCCCAATTGCAAATACCTAGATGAGAGTCAGATAGACAGAGGTTATATATATTTGTTCCAGAACACTCAGTTTGGGCCAGGAATCAGGTTAGTTCATATAATAAAGCTGATAGGATACATATTGTTGACTAGAGAGAATTTCCATTGAAATGAAAACAGGACCTTGTTAGTCAACTTAAGCATTTTCTACCCACTAAAAAACCAGAATAAGTTGAAAAATTATTTAGAATTAGAAAGAAGAGCACTATAGTATATTTTCTCATTTTAATGAATAGAACTAACTTTAGTAGCAGAATATCCCCTTCATAATTCATTATTTAGAAAATGTTGTGATTGATCTAGACTTTTTAAAGAGAAAGAAAGAACTTGAAATGGTTATATCTGTATTTAATGTTGAAGTAATTGGTGTACTTAAACTTCTAATATGAAGTCACAGAATTACAAAGCAAGATGAACTTATGGTTAAATATTGTAACTTGCTTTGTTCAGGATTACCCAAGTACTGTATAGGTGTTAATGAATTCTTTGACTTGAGGAGACATGCAGTAAAAATTGCATCACTTTTGATTCTCTTTGCTGCTGTAAGCAGTGATTTTTTTCCACTCATAATTTTTTCCTTTAAATTGCTACCTGGTGCCAAATTAACAGATATGAATTCATAAATAGATTTATTTGACGTGTATGCAGTAATAACTAGACTCACCAAGGAAAAGTAACCTCAGCTACCTTTACAAAAGTTAATATTTTATATTTCTTTTACTCAATTGAGACTTGTGTCACTGCAACTTATTTTTTTTTTGTGACATATGTTCAAGAATATCATGACCAGTATTCTTTCATTAGCTGAAAACATGGCTGGAGGTTATATTTTCTAAGTAACAACATTCCATTACTTCTGGCTTGGAGGGTAGGGTTAAACTTTATATCCATTTTTTTCCCCTTAGCATTAG